TCCCCCCCTTCCCTTTTCTGGGGTGAATAGACATTTCTGTATGTTTCTCGAAAATATACCACAATATCCCTTTTCACTTCTTATCTCTCCCAGGCTGTTTCCTGGGATGCCCCATTAAACTATGTATGTGCACACAATTTATCCATTTCTCCAGCTCTGCTTCTGGGGAACCAACTTCTATTTCCCTACAAGTGTCCAAGGTTTTCAGTCCTTTCATTCCCAGGCAAACTTAGGCCATTCCTTGGTCACCTTAAGAGGCACCCTCGCCAAGCCATACACAGCTCACTAAGGAAGGTGAACCCACCCCTGTCCTGCTAGCTTGGGCTCTGAGAACAAAAACAGCAGACACAAAGTATAATCTTGTCACATGGGCAGTTTTTATGAGCCAAAAGCCTGGAGGAGGACAGGAGACACCGTGGCAAAGCAGCCATTCCTTTGAAAATAGATACACACACATAATTCGAGGGTAGGCATGGCTAAGTGTGGTTGGAATCAGACAGCTGGTATCTAGGACCTTTGCAAACATCAGTGTAACTGGCTACACCAGGCAAGCTGGTAAATGTATTTTCCAAGAAGCAGGAAGTATCCCAGGCACTGTGGGGTCATTTGGGTGAGCAGAGAAAAATACAGGGCAGCGTGTGATAGGCACTTGAGGCTCTGACAGGGACAAGCACCGGCCATGCCACTTGAGCCAAAGCCACCTGAGCAAACAGTTAAAATGATACCACATCACCACACACACAAACGCACGGAGACAAGCGCTTTGCCTTAGAAGCGGCTGTAAGCCCCGGACGACTGGACCAAGACTCTGGGCGAATTGCAGCGTCAACAGGAGACATCTCACAAAGGTAGTTTCAGGTCATCTGGGGAGGCAGCGCTGGTGTGAGACTAGAGTCACCAGGTCAGGGCAGAAGTGGACACAGGGGTCAGGGCACTCCCCACCAGGGAACTGTAGTACTGACTGGGCAAGGTCACCAAGTCCATGGCCTGGGGACAGATCTCCGTGGATCAGGTTACTCAGCTGTACAATGCTACACATGGCCCTGTTATATTGGGTGGCGCTGTAGAGAGAGTTACAATGTTACAATGGAGGAACGTGTCTCTTTGTTGCCTCTGCTGTCCTTAGTTCCTGCTATAAAAAAAAAAAAAAGCCTCCTCCCATTGCTGAGGCAATGGACACATACCTTCCCTCTCCTGTCTGGGGCGCTAAGGATGCAGAGCTCACTTCCTCCTGGGGTTACTCTGAGATGTTAGTGAGTCAGAGCGAGACAAGATTTAAAACCTCAAATGACAAGTACTGGGATGTCATGCTTATTCCAGCCAGGCAGGGGGATGGGATAGCCAGTCTCCGGGGAGGAGGCCACTGTGGTCAGGTACAGCAGATTCTTTTCTATAGCCTCTCCTTTAAGAGTCCCTGCCAAGGGAGAGGGTGGGGGCAGTGACCAACAGAGGAATTTTGGCCCTCAAATAAACATGTTGCTCTGTGTGTGGTTTCTAGGAGCTTTCTCCAAATCCTGCCTGCCCCCCCCCCCCCCCCCCCATCAAACAGAGGCCCGACTGGAAACCAAGACCACAAATTCACAAGTGCAGTAGGAGCCAAGTTACTCAGTGGGAGACTGAGCTTCCTTGGGCTCCAGAGTCAGACTTCTCAGCTGAGTAGCCTTAGTGACACAGTCCGCCTAGGGCAGGCAGTAGACCCAAAGGACACTTGGACTCTCCTTTCTGTGTTACTGTGGCCAGTTGTCCTCACGCCAGCGAGAATGTCCAAGTGCCCAGAGATCTGCCAGCTAGGGTCAGCAGTGTTCAGACAGTGCAAGGCTGAAGCTACGCTCACACACGGTAAGATCATGGCGCTGGAGAATGGTCAGCCGAGAAACACCCAGCCCTGGACCAAGGAGTGCCACAGGGGTTGTGGGAGCTCTTCCAGTACTCCTTGCCAGACTCCCAAAGGACAGGGATGGCCCCTGGTGTGCCCACAGAGGCACTTCGTATGCATTCCATACAGCAAGCACTCTATAAAAGCGGTTTGGATGTCAGTACCAACCCAGGGAAATGCCCCCCCCCAGCATTTTTTCAACTGGGTACCTTCGAAAGAGCTGCCTTCTGGGTGACCTCCTTGGAAAGTGGTGGTGCCATTAACCCCTTAGCTTCCTTGCCTGCATATGTCTGTTTTCTGAGGTGTCCCCTGTGTGTTTGACAGTCAGAAGTTTCTCATAGGTGAGTAACAAGCTTGGAAGCGGGCGCCTAGTAGAATCCTATCATTCTATAAAAAAAATAAAACAGGGCCTTGGAGGAAGACAGAAACTTGCCAGAAGTTACACAGCGCAGTGGCAGCTGGGTTGGGTCCAACCCACAGGCTCCTCAGTTCTTGGCCCATGTTTTTACTATGAAAAGCAGTGTAGAGGTTGGCTGGACAGTCTCAGTGGGCATTTCTTCACACTGCGAGGACATCAGTGTCCCTTTGACATGACCTGGAAAGCGAAGCTGGCTCAACAAACTAAATGAAATGAATTCAAGTTCACTTAGCTCACAGGAACAACAGGGTGCCCCTCCATCTTTGTACCACTTTAGTTTCTATGCATGTGCTAACTACCTAGGGCTCCAACCTTAAGGTCCAACCCTTTGGCCAAGCAGTGGTTACGGATGCTGCAAGTTGTCGAAATACCACCGGAGCAGTTTTTACGAATGCCTCTTGTTTGGACACTCCCTCCCCAAGTCCTTGGGTTACTGGATACCAGGGGATCTATTCCTTGGTTCTATGGTACCGGGAGGGTGAGTTCAGGCTGCCGAGATCAGCGATGACTTCTGCATCAAACACACTGTTGAGCTCTGGCAGCTGATGCGTGGATATAGTCTATCTCTCTAGGCAGCCCATAGAGCTAATTCCATGCTGGATGAGAACTGGACTGCTCCAAGCCACGGCCATTGTCTTCTCCAGGTTCTGAGGTTCTGGGATCAAGCTCATGGGCAGGTGCCGGTTAGGCAGTCCAGTTTGCTCATTGCTAGAGGAAGAGAGAAGTTCTAAAGTGCTCAGACATCATGTTCAAAGTTACTCAGAAGTAGAGCAAATCCAAGCTTACCAAGAGGGAATCTGGGAACGTTAGCAGGAAGAAGTGCATGGACTCTAAAATGCTAAGAGAAGGGAGGGAAGTCTCTCACTGTCTGATTGAGCATCGGGATCGAGATCCAACATTTTGACTCTCAGCCTGACCATTTTCCTCTCATGATAACCAGATAGGGGACACTAGCCTAGCCACCCTGGAGAAACAAGGGTTGCTGGCCATGGAGCTGAAGTAGTGGGGGTTTTGATGGAGCAGGGGAGTTGACAAGTCTCTCCCATACCTCCTTGGGACCTCAGGCAAGACAGTCTAAATCCCTGTCCCTCTTGGGGACCCTGATGCTAAGCCAATGCCCAAGATTTCATTCTGCCCCATCTGAGGTCAGGAGCTATTTCTCTCCAGAGGGTGAGCTGGAAGCGGAAGCTTTCAGTGAAGTAGGGACTAGCCTCTTCAAAAGGGTCACTCAGACAGCGAGGGACTCTCTGGGAAGCTGCAGCAGTGTAGCCGGAGGCAAGGCAGGACCTGAGGGCAGGGAGCAGAGCATCCAAGTCCTATTGGGCCTGTCTCTTGCCCCTTCACTCAGCGGGTGTTCTGTGGACGCATCCCTGCTGCTAGCTCCCGATACAGACTAGAATCTTGGTGGAGCTGTCCCCCAACTTACAGCCCATAACCCATGGGTTGGTTTAATCAAGATTTGTCTCACTGAAAAGGGAACGCTGTAGGACTTCATATCAGGGACTGTTTTTTGGAGACAAATATGACATGTTAAGACCTTAGAAAGAGGGGATTTTATGGGGTCCCCAGATTCTGTCTAGGGTCCTGGGCTAGTGTCCTTCCTTAGTGAGATCTAGGCACACTTCTGGTGAAGTGTGAAGGGGAGGGGAGATACTAGACAGTTTGACACCAGTTCAGGGTTATCACATGGTGTTCCCGGATTGGCAGAGGGTGGCCCATAGCGCATGCTTTAAAGTTTCAAGGCCTTTCTATCCCCTTTCCTGTCCAGACACATTGCAGCCAAACCTGTTCTGTTGCTGCTGTCAAGTTTTTTCTCTGCCTGAGAATGTGGTACGGCCACATCTCCACTATCCCAGAATGAAATGCACACAGAGGCGCTCTAGCCCCTCCGTACCAATGGATGGAGTCATTCTATCCAACAGCTGAAGGCATGGAAATAAATCTGGTTTCTTCACTGACTCCTGTGAGCTTGCCTATTCTAGACTAGTTCTGCAGACTGCAGTCTACTATTTTGGCTGGACAGGAACTATTACTGGTCGCGCCTGCCTCTTCTTAGACAGGGAGCCAAACTTAGTACCTACCATGCAGTACTCAACTACCAGGAAGAATTTCTTGCAAAGTCTTGAGGGGGTTCTTTGGTTGGCTTCCTAGTGGAAGTTGGAGCCCCTGGACTGTTACCATGGAGACACAAGCACACAATGCAATAAACAGAGGAGGTCTTTTGGTGCCTGGAGCAAGCTTATGGTTCTGGTTGCTTATCTTTGATGGATTTTCTTATCTACCTTTTATTGGAGAGGGCTTTGCTCTCTCTAGTGGGCACCAACATGGTCTTTCTCCAGGGAAAACTCTCCCCCAACCCCGTGTGTGTGTGTGTGTGTGTGTGTGTGTGTGTGTGTGTGTGTATACTTCTCTTGCCATACCCCAGTAGTAGCAAGTTCTGGAGCTTGAAGGTCTGAATGGAAGGAATATTGGGGCCATTTAAAAATCTAGTTAAACAGCTTCTCTCACCCTCCTGTTTCGCAGATGGGCAACGAAGGCCCTGATGGGACAGTGCCTTACATAAAGTTAGTAGGTGGTAGCAAGGTTGGAATTGAATTCAGGCCCACCCACTGCCAGTGTGCAAGGCTTTTTCTAGTAACACTATATTGGCTACACTTTCAAAAAGTTCCCCTACCAACCCAAATGGCCCGTCCCTCTCCCCCCTCCCTACACATAATTGGGGTTGTAACAGAGCATATTGAACTCCAGGTTCTCATCCCAGTGTCTCAGGAGCACAAACAGCTGGCGGGCAGTGGCCTTGAGTGTGCTCGGCGTGCGGCCCTCGGGCACCTTCTGCTGCTCCAGCCACGAGCTGGCCTTAGCAGCGATCAGCTCCCACTCGATGAAGTAGGAAGCCGAGCTGTGTTCCAGCCATGCGAGTGCCACCACGGTGGCCCACAGCTTTCCCGTGTGCTCCAACAGCAGGCCTGGCTCCAGGTCTGAGCTGCCTTCAGCTTCGGCCTCCAGGGGGTTGTCGTCGTCGTCATCGGGTGGGGACGGAGAGGACAGACTGATGCTGTGCTGTGGACTCTGGCTCTTCGAATCGTGCTGGCGGGTGGTGCGGGACATGCGGAGGGCGATGAAGGGTGAGGTCCACTTGAGTTTCTCCATGGGGATTTGGATGGCATCGCAGAAGGCTCGGTTGAGCAGAAAGGCTCCTGAGGCCAGTTGCAGAGACACCTGTGGGCAGAGAAGCATCTCGGTGGGCTTCAAACCTCTCAGGCCATGGAGCTCCCCACCACATGAAGTCCAGATCCACATAGTCTGCTCGTTCATCTCCTCCCGCCCACTCTGCCTATTTTCGGGATACCCAAGTCAACAGGGCATGGCTTCATTTTATCCTTCAGCATCGTGGGTCAATCACTCTCTAAGCTAAACTCACTATCCTGGCTCTAAATCTGCCTCTCACCCTGTGGAGGTTCTGCTTGGCCGCTGGGATCGTTGAGGCCTGTCCAGCAGACTCCAGTCTGCTCACCTCTATTCCTGCATGCATGCTGGTCACTTTGACGTCCTAACAGGCTGCAGCCCACTGCCTGCCTTCTCACACTTTCCCTGCCCCTCTCTCTTTCCTCCTCCACATCTGTCCATCTGTCCTGCACTCAGAAGGCACTCCCTCCACAAAGCCTAGGAAACACATCGGCTGAAGGCCGGGATCAATTTCCCACTTACTCAGTTTTCTATTAAACCAAGTCCAGCGTGTGATTTATAAAGCCCTTCACCACCTGGCCCCATTTTTCCTTCATTCTCACCCCTCAGCTCCATTCTCCAGATGCCAAGCTGTCTCCCCTTGAGGCCTTTGGCCATGATGCCTCAAGAGTCAGGTCTTGGTTCAACCACTGCCTTCTCCGGGAAATCATACTCTGTTCTGTCAGTACCCCTGCCTCAGGTCCCAGAGCCTTACCTGTATTTCCCACCAAAGCAACCCCCATCACTGCTCCCAAGGTGTCGAATTGCCTGGTTCCTAGTCTGCTTTTCACTGGATTCTTCATCCCAGGAACTACATTTATATCCCCAGGATCTGCACTGAGCAAGCTCAGTTAACCCCTGCACAGCAGCCATAAATGTAAGTGCTCAGCTGACCTGGACTTTTGGGGATGCCAAATGACGCCATGCACACATCTGGGTGTGGAGGGAGGGAGACCTGAAGTGATGTACCCAAAACTGTGCCTCTCCTTTATGCGCCCCATGAACCCCAAGCTCTAGGGACACTCAGAGGTGGTAGGACCTGCTCTCCTTGTTCCTTGACTCAGTGCCGCAGGCTGAAGAGCCTGGCTTCTCTTCCCACTGTGGCACCCTGGGCCACCTACAGACCTGGAGATGGGCATGTCCTCAGGAAGTGACTTTTACTCACCTGCGGGCCATTTCAAGGCTTATTTTTATGTACTGAGAGCAGGCAAGTTGATGAGGTTGTAGGACATTGCCAAAGTCCTGCGAATTTTTTAGGCAAGGACAGCTACATGTAGAAAAGCCTCCTGACATGGGCACTGTCCCCTTTGAAGAGGGGAAGGCATCAGCAGGGGGCTGAGCTGGGTAGGAGGGGTCTGAGGTCTGGAGCTCACCAGTGGTATGTAGTCCAAGCTCTGGCTGCCCGGAGTTGGCTCTGGGGTCTTGGCCATTGATTTGCTGAGAAAGCCTTTGGCGGCTCGGGTTAGCAGCCTGGGCTTGTTGAGATTCAATCTGTGTAGACAGAAACAGGTTCTCTGGTCATCCCAGTCCTCTGGTACCTGCCCAGAACGCTGCTAAAAGGCAGAGCCAGAAGGACCTAACATGGTGTTTCTCAATCTCCTCATTGACAGCCAGGGAAATGGAAGCCTGGAGAAAGGGGGCAGGTCTGTCCCTACCTCCTCTGTTAGCAACAATGGGGCAATGAAGGGGTCAGTGTTTTTCATGGCTGTCTATAAGTACCGTGTCCATCTGAGTCCAGGGGTGGGGAGACTCCAAAGGTAGTTGTGACAGTTAATGCTGTCAACCTGACAAGCTCTACAATCAATGAAGAGACGACTGACTCTCTGGGCTGACTAAAGAGGAAAGACCCGCCCTAAATGTGGGCAGCACCATCCCATGTACTGGAGTCCTGGACTAAAGGAAAAGGAGAAAGCGAACTGAACATCAGAGTTCATCTCTCTTGGGGTCCTTCCTGCAGACGCGATGTGGCCAGTCACCTCACGTTCCTGCCTCCATGGCTTCCCCACCGTGATGGACTGCACCCTCCACCAGATAAGCCCAAGATGCACCCTCTGGAATCTGCTTTGCGGGGGTGAAGTTTTCACAGCGAAGACACAAGTTACTATTTATTGGCCTTCCAAGGTTTAAAGAGACCTGGCCCACGGTGGTGGCTCTAGGTAGCGGGGCTTTGCAGCACCCGTGGGGTGAGGCTGGCTCTGCCTTTGATGGGAAAAGGAAAGAAGCATCGTGTTCCCAGAGGAAATTCCACTTACTTGGATCCAAAGAGAGCCTCAGAGGCCTTCAGGGAGGACAGGTTGTGAGGGGGACCTGGGGAATCACAGAATGACAGATTTAGGCTTGATGGGGGACCTGTCCACTTAGTCACCTCCCACCTGGGGAAACAGGCTATGAGTGGGGTAGGAGTTTGCCTACGAATAGATGGCACCAGGATGAGAACTGATTGCTGGGCAGCTGCACTCCAGGTGCGTGGGCAAGGGTGGCACAGGCAAGGGGCAGGTGCACGGACAAGGGTGACACAGGTGAGGGGCAGGTGCACGGACAAGGGTGACACAGGTGAGGGGCAGGTGCACGGACAAGGGTGACACAGGTGAGGGGCAGGTGACAGACAAGGGTGACACAGGTGAGGGGCAGGTGCATGGACAAGGGTGACACAGGTAAGGGGCGGGGCATGAATAAAGGTGACATAGGTGAGGGGCAGGTGCAGTGGGCAGGGTGACATAGACATGGGGCAGGTGAGCCTATAGGATTCTTGTAGGGAGACCCTGGCATTTTCTAGGAGGTGACAGTTTCAGACCAACAGCACCGTTTCTGGGTTAGACACTGAGCTGACAATCCTGCTAGAGGATGTCATGCTGGGTGCAATGGGACAATGGCCTTCCAACTGGAACTCTAGGCCCAACTCTGTCACAAACTTGCTAGGTGACATCGGGCAAACTGCTTCCCCCATTCAAGTCCCAGCTTCTTAGTTTTTAAACTGGGGCAGTCCTCTCCATCTCTTGTGGCTGTCCTGAGACATCAGTGACATTCTGGGCACTCTGCTGAGACACCTCCCTGCCCCTAGTACCTCTCCTATTCCGCCAACGCAGTAAGAGGTTCGGCCCCGGCTGCCTGCTTACCTTCTGCGGCTGTGTCCTTCTCGTGGGTGGGGGACAGGATCTTATTGAAGGTCGAAGCAGGGCTTTCTTCTAGGGCTGCAACAGAGGATGTCAGGGGGCCTGAGCACCCTTCACCCCTCCTTTCTTCCTACCCTGCTGGGCTCCAAGACCTAACACCCCTACTCACTAAGCAGTGGGCTCTTGGTAAGGTCACTTTGTCAGTTTACACTGTAAATCGGGGCTAAGGGGTCTTCCCGTGTCATTGGAAGGACTCAGTGAGACACGGCTCAGATAATGCTTACTGTATCACCAAGAACTCAGTGAAGCCTCAGACTACAGACCCCACAGGGAATTGGGGGCAAGACTGGAGCAGGGACTTCAGGATGAGAGTCAGATTCTGGGTGCTGTGGTATCTCCCAGGTCTATGCCCACTGAGATGTTCCTTCTAGGTCCCCAGGAGGCACCAGGAACATAGCCCAAACTCATCAGAAGGCTTTGAGCCTCAGTTTCCCTGTCTGTAAAACAGACACGAGAATCATGGTCCATAACCATCCTTGCTGTGATTTAAATGAGAAGTCTCTCCCACGGGCTCATGGATTTGAACACTAGGCCCCCCAGTTTGTGGGGAAGTTTAGGGAAGATTATGGAGCCTTTAGGAGTCAAGCCTAACTGGAGGAAGCACGGCACCAGGTCGGGACTTGAGGTTTTGTATTCTCACCCCACTTCCTGTTCTCTTTCTCTTTCGCGGCCTGTGAGTGGATGAAAGCTTTACCTGCCGACTTTCTGTCCCCCTAGCCCCTCCTCCCGGCCCCGCATCATGTTTTCCTCCGCTCTTCTGACTCCACAACGGGCTTCTTCCCTCTGGAACCACCAACCACAGCGAACCTTTTCCTCCCTCAGTTGCTATTCTCGGGGTCTGTTATCATAGTGACAGGGGAGTCACCAATACCATGCTGAACCAAGGTGACGACTGTCAGGATTGTCACTTCTGGGGTCAGACTGAAGGGACAATCTGACAGAAAGGAGAGTCTAAGCCATAGAAAAGAGGTGCATGCGCAAACACGTTCAGCAGAGCCTCAGTTTCCCCAGATGAAAAGGGGCTCTCATTGCCATAGCACTCAGCCCAAGGACAAGCTAGAGATGGAGTGGCTGACTGACTGAAGCAACCAGGAGGTGACCACAATGCCACTTAATGCCACAGTTCACCGCCAAACCCTGAATCCAAGCCTCGATTTCCGCACACACTGCCACCCTGAGTGAGACACCTAACTTCTCGGGGACCCATTTTTCTCCTCTCTTGACCAAGGTGCCTGTGAGGGGTCCATAGTAGCGAGGAGAGAGCTGAGCACAAGGGGACCTCTCAGCAAGGCCGCTCACCGCCTTCGGTAGGGGCAGAGTAAGAGTTGAGGGACTGGGGATGTGGGGCTTGAACCAAGGATGACCGGGAGGAAGAGGCTTGTGATGTCAACGGAAGCCTCTGCCTGCTGAGGGCTGAGATGCAGAGAAGGAGCAGTTAGACTGGAAAGTTCCAGAAACTCAGTGGCTGGGCTAGGGAGTCCCCTGGGGCTTGGGACACAAAGAGGCCAAGATATTGTCTTTAATTCTGAAGAACGGCTCTGGGCATCCAGTACTCTAGTCTTTCTTTTGCTATCTCTTCCCTCTGATGAAACATTCTTACAGTGTGGGTGGCTGACGAGGCTCAGGGCGTGGCCTCTGGTGCCCTCCTCATGTTCAATGGAGGGTTACAAGGGAAGGGGTTAGGATGAGCACAGGCTCTCTGTGGAGAGCCAGAAAGCCAGGCATAGACACAGATGTAGAGTAGCCAGCCTGTCAATCAGCTCAAGGTCACTAAAAGGTCATGCCACAGTTCCCTGAGCACCAGGCAATCAGGTGAAGGCTGAAAGGGAGCTGCTAGGAATCCAGAAAACAGCAGATGGTGAGACCCGGACAGATGGAACGGCCTCTTTGCTCATCACTTGCTCCTGTTCGTTAGGTTTCCCAGAACTTGGTGTCTGGGAGAAGCCACAGGCTGGAGAGCCGGCAGCTGAGGGCAAGAGGGGATGCTGCCCAGGAAGGCCTTGGGGAAAGCTGCCTGCCCTTTCCTGCTTCCCACCTCTGTATAAAGCTGTGTACTGGAGTTATACCAAACCCTTGTGCCCACATTAGTCCCCCAGAACCCAGGAGACTTGGCCTTGCCCTCTCCTTGCTTAGGGGTCCAAGACTGCAGACTCAGAGAGGGGCCCCTGAGGCCTTGGACATAGGGGTGTCTGCGCTTCTGGGCACAGGAAATGGCATTTACCTAGGGTCTGGAATTTGCTGTCTCCTGCAGCCGAGGCATGTTCTCTGAGCATGATCTGGGACCTTCCAACACCAGAAGACGAGCCTTTCCACTGTCGGGTCAGGTTCCGGAAGCTGACCATTCGGAGTGTGGCACCTTTGTGGAGGACAAGGAAGGTCAAGGCATCAGATGGGCGTGAACCTGTTGGTTCCTGCCCTTTTCCCAAGGCTGACAGCAGCCAACGAGTGGCTCTTTTGTCTTTCAGTTAACCTAAGGTAGACAAGCATGGCACAGCTGAAGACTAAGAGCCTTGGGGCCAGAAAGATCTGGGTTTGTACTCCAGCCCCATCCTGCGCTAGCTGGATAGGTTGTGAACTCTGAGCCTCAGTTTCCCCATCTGGAAAATGGGGATAACAATCTCTATCACCAGGTGAATATAACTGCTGACATACTGTGAAATGTCCCATGTCCCAGCCCCCTTCTCCTACACAGATCCTTGAAGCCCCAAGCACTGCCGATGGAAGGCAGAAGGGTGAAGCCAACTCCCTAAAGCGTATTTAGGAGGCCACATTCTCAGAGGTCATTAGCCTATCTGCTGTTTCTTAAAAGTAAGAGTTGTGTTTCTGGGAAGACGACTCAGTCAGTGAAGCGTGTAAGGACTTGAGTTTGAGTCCCAGAACCCACGTGAAAAAGTTTGGTGTGGTAGTGCACACTTCTGATTCCAGTGTTGAGGAGGCAGAGGCAGGAGGATGCCTAGGACTCACCATCTGTCCGTCCATCCAACTAGCCTATTCATTGAGCTTCCAGCCAATGAGACTGTCTCAAACAAACAGCACTTGAGGAACAACACTTGGGGTTGACCGCTGGCCTCTATATGTGGGCACACACATACACACATGCATGCATGCATGCACGAACACACACACACACACCTATATGGTCACACACCTACAAATACACAAATAAACAGAAAACAATATTCTCATTGGGGAATACATTTGGAAAAGCTGTAGACCACAGTCTGTTCCCCGGCATCTTGATGTGAACCAACACTTTACGGGCTCTGAGACCTCCTGCAGCAGAGAAAGCCTCAGGCTTTATTTAACCCAGGGTCCTTGAATGCACTTCCTGACTTGATATTTTCTATTTTTTTTGCACTAGACAGCTATTTACAGGCTAAGAAATAGGGGCTTTGGTTTCTTAGCACACACATGGGTAGAGCTGGGCTAGACTACAGGGGCTTTAGGGTTTGGAATAAGTATCCTGGGTCCTCCATCTCTCAGGCCGGCCACAGAGTCAGAGCTGGGTGAGGGGAGAGAGGGGAGCTTCTCTAAAACAGGAGTGAGAATACAGCCTCTGGTCCAGCTTTGGTGGACTGAGCTGGAAACGGGGAACTGGAAATGGAGGGTCATTTTGGAAACACACATAAGGAAAAGGGCAGGGGAGAAGAAAAAAGGGGGAGGAGAGCATGTTTGGTTTTAAATATCTCCCTGGAGGTCTGGTCAAGGGAAAAAAGAACTGTAGGCCTGAAGCTGAGCTCAGGGGTACAGTGCTTGCCCAGTAAGCCAGGCCCTGGGTTCCATCCTCAGTAAGACTAGCAAACAAACAAACATAAAACAACCAAGGACAAGGCCCTGGAAATGCCAAGAAAGTAAAATTCAGAAAAGGAAAACCCCAGAGTTACTAAAACAAAAACAAACAAACCATGAAAAGTGTCCCCTACACCAGCTGTTCTCATCTGGGGGGTCAAGACCCCTTTGGGGGTCAGATGACCCTTTCATAGGAGTCGCTTATCAGATATCCACATTACTATTCATAACAGTAGCAAAATTACAGCTATGAAGTAGCAGTGTTAATAATTTTATGGTTGGTGGATCACCACATGAGGAACTGTATTAAAGGATCACAGCATTAGGAGGGTTGAGAATCACTGGTCTACACAGACACACATAGACATCACATACATTCACAGAAATGCCACAGATACACACAGACATTATAGATATACACAAATTACAGACAGATACAGAAATGACACAGATACACACAGACATCATAAATATACATAGACATCATAGATATATCACAGACACACACAGAAACGTCAGACACACACAGACATCACAGATATGCACAGACATCTCTCTCTCTCTCTCTCTCTCTCTCTCTCTCTCTCTCTCTCACACACACACACACACACACACACACACACAACAGACACACACAGACATCACAGACACACACAGACATCACAGATACATGCAGACATCACAGACACACACAGACATCATAGATACATGCAGACATCACAGATATATGCAGACATCAGAGATACACGTAGACATCACAGGCACACACAGACATATCAGGCACACACAGACAGATCAGGGACAACAGACATCACAGGCACACACAGACATCACAGGCACACACAGACATCACAGACACACACAGACATCACAGGCACACACAGACAGATCAGGTACACACAGACATCATAGATACACATAGACATCACAGATACATACACACATGACACACACACACATGTGAGGGTCAGAGAACAACTTTCTCTCCTTAAACCATGTGGGTTCCAAGTTATCACACTTAGCTCCTTGGGTTTGACAGCAGACACCTTTGCCTGCTGAGTCACCTTGCCAGTCCCTGGTCACAATACATTAAGAGACAGAACAGAGGCAAGAACACAGACTGGACCAAGCTACTGGGACTCACAGCCTAGCTCTGCCTGTCCTGCTCAGTAACCTCAGGACATGTAATCTCCTCTGCCTCTGTGTCCCATCTGACAAATGGGGCATTAATGGAGTCACTTTGCAGAACCTGTTATGGGGGTTAGAGGATCAAAAATATGCTTTAGAATATGGGTTGAGTGTACAAACAAAAGACATTGGTTCTGGGGACTGACCTTGGGGCCTCTCACACTAGGCAAGCACGCTGCCCTTGAGTTATAGCTCTGGCTCTCTTTTTTACTTTTTATTTTGAGACAAAGTCTTGCTAAATTGCCCAGGCTAGCCTTTGAGTGTGTAGCCCAAGATAGCCCTTGAATTGCATCCCTGGGCACCAATCTTCTGAGTAACTGGAATGATAGGCTTTTGTTAGCAGGCTGGGCCTGATGGATGATGGGAGCTCCCTGCAATGGAATACACTATATTACAGATAAAGCATTTAAGCGTTCTTTCTGGGATAGACTATTTCACACCCGCATTTTGGAAACAGTGTGTATTGGTATGATCTTGCTCCTGTAGCCTTGTATGTCGATTGATTTCTCTCCACGTAGACACCTGCCAAGAGACATCAGGACAGAAACAGCAGGGAGGCTGCCACTCTGACCCATCTGTACCTAAGTTGCATCATTCCAGACATTTTGGGACTCTCTGTCATTCATTGTCCCTCCTGAGATAAACCAAATACAGTAAAGGCGTTTGCTCCTCTCCCCTTCAGTGGCCCAGCCACCTGCTGGGAGCCTTTCTGCTTTTGCATGGCCTTGCACCCCTGTCTGCAGGGCTGCCCTTTCCAGCCATCTCAGCCCCTCCTCGAGCCCATGGGCTAACATGCACGCCTTACCGGAGTTGGGGTACTTCACTACCGAGGGCAGGTACCGCCTCTTGTTTATGTCCACGGGCACGAAGGCCGTGTACTTGCTGATTATGTTGCAGGCCTTGCTGGTGTGCACAGCGTTCACCTGGTACCGGCGATTGGACCCTAGGGGAGGAAGAGTGAGGTTCATTGCTTGGGATCACAAAGTATTGCTTGGAGACACTAGAAGGAGAGTTTGGCCATCAGACTCCATCTTTGGGATCAAATAGATCTTGAATGTACTAATTAAAGACATCCAGACCAAAAAAAAAATCATCATTTCACAAAGATAAAGGATATTCTAATGTAAAAAATTAAGTCATTATCTTAGAATAAAAGATAGCCAGTTCCCTTAAGTAGCTTGTGTTATTTAAGAGGTATTCTATGTTGTTTGTATTTTGTATTTGAATATTGCGGATGACTAATGGGGACCTTGTTACAGGGCTTTGCGGTTCCAGAACAGATGAAACCTATGACATGGCGGAGAGGATTGAACAGCTGCGGCTGGGGAGAGGCTTCACGTACCGGTAAGAGTGCTTGCTAAGAAAGCATGAAGACATGAGTTTATATCCCCAGTGGACAACTGCAAGGCTGGGTGTGGCCATGGCCACCTGTGACCCCTGCTGGAGATGCGGGGAGAGGGAAACAGGAGGACCCAGAGGGCTCACTGGTCAGTCAGCTTGGCTCCAAAGCCCCAAGCTTTGGGTTTGGTGAGATACTCTTGTCTCAAGGGAGCAAGGTAGAGGGTGGTAGAGGGACACACCCAGCATCCTCCTCGGACCTCGGGATATATCTACCCACCACTATCACTCCCACCTCCACCCGAACATGCACACACAGATGCACAGACACACACACAGACACAGACACACAGACACACACACAGGCACACAGATACACAGGCACAAACACACAGACACAGACACACACACAGATACACACAGACACACACAGATACACATAGACACAAACACACACACAGACACACACAGATACACACAGACACAAACACACACAGACACACACATAGGTATACAGACACACACAGATACACACACAGACACAAACACACAAACACACACACAGACACAAACACACAAACACACACAGACAGATACACACAGATATACAGACACACACAGATACACACATACACAGACACACACAAACACACATACACACACAGAGATATACACACAGGCATACACAGACAAACACACAAACACACACACAGACAGATACACACAGACACACACAGATATACAGACACACACAGATACACACAGAGACACAAACACACAAACACACACACAGACAGATACACACAGACACACACAGATATACAGACACACACAGATACACACATACACAGACACACACAAACACACATACACACACAGAGATATCTCTCTCTCTCTCTCTCTCTCTCTCTCTCTCTCTCTCTCTCTCTGAGATTTAAAACCAGAGAAGCACTCCATGGAGGGTCATACAGCAAGTTAATAAGGACCTAAGGTTGGGATTTAGGATGACCAGGCCTGGAAGATGGGCCCTTTCTACCAAGT